CTCATCGCCGCCGACGCAGCGAGCAGGCCCGGCGCCGCCCCACCGGAGCCCCGGGGCCCGGCGCGCGGCCTGGCAGTTACCTTCGGCGGGAAACTCCTCGAACTCGTCGTCCTCTTCCAGGAGACCCAGGTCGACAGGCTGCTTCTTCTCGGACATCGCGCCCCGCCGAGCCCCACAACGCGCAGAGCCGCCGCAAAGTTGGAAGCCTCAGCGCTCGTCAGCCGCCGATACCGCCAACGCCGGCGCAACCATAGAGACGAGCCAGGAAGAGTTACGGGGCAGCGCGAGGAATGCTGGGATATCCCGGGTCCGCCCAGCGCTTCCTGTGGGTGTAGCAGGTCCCCTGGCTTACTTAGAACAGTGGGCTGTTTTGTTTTATAGATTTTGTTTTATAGTCCGTTCGTTTTTTTTCATTCATGTAGGTTGCCTGACTGTGAAAGATTAACAGTGTATAAAATTACTAGAGACCATTACTTAGCTTAAAACCAAGAAAAGAAATCTAGATGAAGTAACTAACGTTTTAGTGGCAGGCCCTTAACGTACATTATCCCATACTCAAACCAATTCCTTGGGCATGCTGCTAAATATTTCCACATCACAGGAAACTCAGGACCAGAGCAGCCAAAGTCACTCAGACATGCTAGACTCCTGCCTGTCCTCCAGCTTTTCCATTACGCAGTGCTTTTTGGTCTTAGAATTGTTTGTGGTCCGGGCTTTGTGTTGTAACTAAGTCGACAGGTTGTTGTAAAGATAAACGAGTAAAAAAATGATGTAACATTTTATTGTTGTTCAGAAGATATAATTTGGGTTTCCTTTTCTTCGTTTGAATGGTTGTGGCACATGGAAAAACAGACAATGACAGATGTGAGAAGGGTTAGTCCCTAAATTAAACACAAAGTAATACGTATTTACAGAACTTACAAATCTATGCTCTATTGCTACTAAAAAGGGTCCTATATGAGTTATTTAATTTCCATGTTGTATATTTATTTGCAGCACCACAGTTAAGATTATGCATATTAACATGCATATTTATAAATGCAAGCATAATTCTATTAGATAATCAGGAAATTGAACCAGGTCTGTATTCCCTACTACTCAGGAGGCTGAGGCAGAAGGGATCTTTGGCTACAATATGAGTTCAAAATCGGCTTGGGCAACTTGGTGAAGCCCTGCCCCCAAATAAAAAGTAAGCAGAGGGTTAGAGATGCATCTCAGTGCCTCACTCCTCAGTGCCAGAAGAATTTTAAAAAGGGATTGGGAAAAAAATGTTTTAACAAATCCTATGTGCTTTGTAGCTATAAATATGGATAAGGTGGTATGTTGTTTTACAAAAAGGTATATTAGAAAGTAGAAAATAGAACATCTTTTGAGGAAATAACTTCATTTTATTCAAACACTTTGTTCTATTTGCATCTCCATTGCTATGATAGCCTGGCAAAAAGCAACTCAGGGGAGAAAAGCTTCATCTGGCTTGCAATTCTAGGTTGTAGTCTATCATTGCTGGGATATCAAGGAAGAAATCTGAAGCAGCTTTCACACCCACAGTCAAGAGCAGAGAATGAATGTGTGTGTGCTATTTGTGTTCAGCACTGTCTCACACTTACAGAGTCCGGGATCTCCTGCCTAAGGAATGGTGAGCCCCTAATGGGCAGGCTTTTCCATTTCAATTAATGAAATCAAGATTGTCCCTCATAGATATGACCATAGAATAACCCCATAATAATTATCTATCATTGGGACACTTTTCCCAGATGATTATATATTGTGTCAAGTTGACAATCAAAATTCATTATCACACACCAAGTTCTTTGATCAAATGTTCATTCTTTAAGATTAACTCAGTTTCCCCTGAATCAGAACCTGAATGCCTTAAGAAAATGAACTCTTTCCTAGTCAAGTGGACTTGAAGCTAACTCTAAACCCTTCTGGGGTTTTATTCCTATTATGATAAGAAGACAATATGAGATTTACCCTATTAAATTTTTTTATATTTGGGGGAGTTACATCTTAAATTAAAAAAAATATTAATCTTTTGAGAATTCCTTACAATGTGTTTTAATTATTTGATCAATTCCAACTCCTTCCCCTAACTCCTCGAAGAACCACTTCACCCCTCATCTCCCCAACTTTGTGTCCTCTTCTTAAATATATATATATATATATATATATATATATATATATATATATATATATATATATGGTTTTTTGAGACAGTGCTTCTCCTGTAGCCCTGGCTGTCCTGGAACTGCCTTGTAGACCAGGCTAGCCTTGAACTCACAGAGCTATGCCTTCCTCTGTCTCCTGAGTACTGGGACTATAGGCCTGCACCACCACTGCCTGGCTCTCTTCTTCCTTTTAATAACCCATCAATTCCAGTTTGTGCTGTCCATATTCTCCCAAATGTAGGGCCATCCACTAGAGCATTGTCGATTATGAGGAGGCCAATCCTTCAAGAAAAACCAGCTCTCCCTGCCCCAGGAGCCATCAACTGTCCAAAGTTGCTCAGTGTGAACTACTTCCCCTCCAGCTAGAATGTTGACTAACTTGTTCTTGTGAGAGTCTTGTGCGGGCAACCACAGCTGCTATGAGTTCAATGAGTGAAGCATCCTGTCACATTTGGAAGACAGTGTTTGGCTCCAGTGATCTTGGACTTCTGGCTCTTGGAATCTTTCCCTCTCTTCTGTGATAGTGTCTGAACCTTGGGGAGGAGGTATGACATAGATGACCCATTTGTGGATGAGCATTCCACTGACACTTACTCTATGCACTTTGACCAGGTTCTATGACCAGTGACTTTGTGCATTAATCATTATCTACTGCATAAAGAAACTTCTGTGATCAAATTTCAGGCCTGCATTAACCTGAGTAGAGAGATACAAATTTAAAGGGAAGTTTATACTATGTCCATTTTGCTGTGGATATTGCTTTGTATAAATAAAATGCTGATTGGCCAGTAGCCAGGCAGGAAGTATAGGCAGGACAAGCAGAGAAGAGAATTCTGGGAAGTGGAAGGCTAAGTCAGGAGACACTGCCAGCCACTGCCATGAATACCAACATGTAAGATACTGGTAAGCCACAAGCCATATGGCAAGGTATAAATTTATAGAAATGGGTTAATTTAAGATATAAGAACAGCTAGCTAGAAGCCTGAGCCATTAGGCCAAACAGTTTAATAATATGAGTCTATGTGTTTATTTTATAAGTGGGCTGCGGGACTGCTGGGGCTTGGCAGGAGCTGGAGAGAAACTCTCCAGCTACACCATTTAGCATGATGGTGATGATGATGGTGGTGGTGGTGGTGGTGGTGATAAGTTCACTCTTGGGACCTGTGAGCTCCCCAGCTTGGGGTTCTTGGCTAGATTGGCAATGTCAGGCTGTGTTTTCTCCTGTTGACCAAATCTTAAATCCAATCAGAAAGAAGTTGGTTATTCCATAATATTTGTGCCACTCTTGTACCCACAGGCATATCTTATAACGTTATTGAAGTTCACAGCATTTGCAGCTGGGTAAGACTGGTGATGATTTTCTCCACCTAGCAGCTTGCACAAAACCTTCCAGTACTATGAAAGCTAGCCAGCAGGGAAAGTGCTTCTGGGTCTGACTTGATTTCTCACATCTTGTGACCAATGGCATCTTAATTTTATAGCTGAACTTTTATTCTTAATTGATGAACTACTATTAGCATTTGAAAGCACAGGCACCTCTCTTAAAAGAGGAAGGTGCTTGTTTGTTTTTAGATGGGGTCTTACTATGTAACCCTACCTGGCCTCGAACTCACCATGTAAACTAGACTGCATTGCTTGCTTCAGAGTTCCACCTGCCTTGCTTCCCAAGTGCTCTGATTAAAGGTATGTGCCCCCCTGTCTAGTACTCTTAAAACTTGAAGAGTACAGGACTGTACTGTTAAATATAGATGCTCAGTTATACAGCAAATTTCTAGAAATTACTCATTGTATAAAATTCTCAAAGAATTAATACTTTTTAAAAATTAAGTTGCAAAACCTCTCTAAAATGCAAATTATTTTTGTTTGTTTGTTTTTTGAGATGGTGTTTTTCTGTGTAACCCTAGCTGTGCTGGAACTCACTCTGTAGACCAGGCTGGCCTTGAACTCATAGAGCTGCCTGCCTTCCAAGTGCTAGGATTAAAGGTGTGCACCATCAAATGTAAATAATTGAAGAGGTCAGATCTTATGTTGTTTTCTTACAACAACAACAACAAAAACAATAAAAAAAAATAACCCAGTACAGTTTAGAGTCAGCCTCAAGTATCCAAAGTTTACTTGTGACCCCCCATTTCCTTTGCCTCTGACAGCCACCACTGTATTCCATGTTTCTATGATCACCTGTTTTATATATCTCACTTTACGGTTGAGGTCTTATGGGTCTCTAGTGGCCCATACACTGAAGGTTTGCTCAGGAGCCTGTGGCATTGTGAGGTGATGGAGACTTGGAGTCTATCTAGTGCAGGAAGTCAGGTCTTGGGGGCATGTCCTTGAAGGGGATGTAGGTAAGCAGCTTTGCTCTCCATGTTCTTCCCCACACTGTTCCACCCCACCACAGGCCCCCAAATTGCAGAAGCCAAGCAGCCGTGGACTGCAATCTTTAGAATCAGGAGCCCAAATAAATTTTTCTTTTTTAAAGTTAATTTTCTCATTTTGAGTACATTTCTCAGTGATACAAAAATCTGAATAACACATTTCATCTAATACTTGGATCAGGTAGGATTTGGACTTCTATGGCAGGCTTATTTCACTTAGAATAATGTCCTCCCCACAGCTCTTTTGAGAAGCATGCATTACGCATGGCAGGATTTCCTTTTTCGTAAGATCAAATCCTCCTATACACCAATTATCTTAATTCCCCCGTTGATAAGTATTGTTTGTTTCTATATCTTGACTATTATGAATTATGCTGCAGTGAACGTGTGAACATGCAAGTACAGCTATCTCGTCAAGATCCTCATTTCAATTCTTTTGGATATATACTCAGAAGTAGGATAATAGGATCATGTGTAGGTCTATCTTTAATTTTTCTGAAGACCATTCACCACGTTTTCCACAGAGGCTGTTTCATTTCTCACTCCACCAGTAGTGTACAAAAGTCTCCAGTTTCTTCATATCATCATCAATATTTACTGTCCGTGCTTTTGGAGAATAGCCACTCTTAAAAGGCATGAGCCGGGAAGCTGTGGCGCACGCCTTTAATCCCAGTACTTGGGAGGCAGAGCCAGGCAGATCTCTGTGATCGAGGCCAGCCTGATCTAT